TTATGACAGTGGTTTAGGAAAATTTGCGCATCTTGTCCTTGACTTGTGCTTGCAGTTTTTGTGCTTGCCTTCACTTGTGTCAATTTATTTGACCACGGGAGAAATTGTTCATACTACCAGTTGACATGAGCCTAAGGGCCAGATCCCACTAGCCCCTATTGTTCATTTATGACCGTTGATCTTCGTAATCGAGGGTGAAAAATGAATAATCCAGGGTAGTGGGATCTGACCCTAAGTTGACAAAGCTACCTTATGAGGCTCATGAGCCTACAACTGCGCCTTTTCAAAGTGGCCTGCCGCTTTTTTTTTTTTTTTTAATCCAATGATGCTCAGGCGGGCGTGCCCTCGGCAGAAGCCTTGGGCGCCACGTGCGTTCAAGGTATCGATGGCTCACGGATTTCTGCAATTCGCTATTGACCCAGGCCCTAAGCGAAATGCGGTTGCCACATAAGCCGGCAAGAGCAAGTGCGGTAACTGGCGGTTTATGGAACGTTTTTCGCAAGTGATGAACAGTATAGGTAGGAAGATACATCTGCCACGCGGCCGTGCATGCGCCACAACTTTCGGGGCTTGGCCTACTGGAGCAAAATGGCTGGCGGCGCTAGCCAAAACAGGATCCCGCCGCAGTTCGGTTTTTTATCACTACATTCCCCAGAGGCTAGTATCCATGGATATATTTCGGGCTTTCTGCAGGGGAGGGGCTCTGCCCGAGGTCAAAGGCATTAGATCGCCAGTACACGACCCCAGCCTTGCAGAAAAAGAACTCGTCGCCCGCTCTGAATAATTCGGGTGCGCCCGCCATTGATAAATTCCGTCAATGGTCGGCGTCGCGTTTCGGGCCTCCAAAACTCGCGGTTAGGGGCCCGCGGCAGTGGGCTCCTTTTGTTTTGGTGCTATGGGACATGCATGTGCATGCGTGGTGACTTTCAGGGCTTGGCCCACCAGAACAAAATGGCTGACACCACCAGTCAAGAAGGATGTCTTTTCCTTGGCATCCTGGGGGGAATCCGCTGTGGCAAAAGGAAGTACTGGTGGTTACTGCGGTGGAAATAATCAAGAAATAATGATTAAGGGTTACTTCCTAAGCCCTGTTATGACTCATCTGTGTTCAGTGGGGTTAGAACCCATATTCTGTTTACTATTTGTGTTCATCTCATCAGGATCAGGATCGGGAACTCGTTGTGTTTCCGACTGACCTCAGGATCGAGCTCATGTTCTGTTCACTCAGCCACATGCGCGCTGAGTAATCTTGACCATTTTCTTTGAATTGTTGTTTCTAGGACGTACGTTTGACCTTTTTTTTTTTTTTTTTTTTTTTTTYTTCAATTACCCSCCAGGTCCGGATTTGGCAGGTCATTGAATTGGTTTGACCGTTTTGCGGACTGGCGTGCGTCAGCCTTGTGAACTTGGGCCCGTGCTGTATCTGTGCAGTTTCCGAGATATATTTATTTTTCCCGATTTTGATTGACGGGTGTCCAGAAGGACAGCCAGACTCTTTGCCGTGATATTGGGCGTGGCTGCACGAATCTTCAAATGTGCAAAATGAGACTGAATGCATCCCTCGAACAC